TGCTGAACTCAGCAGCATAGAAAGGAGGAAATGGGAGGAGCAGCGCAGCATGGTACCTGTAGAGCAGCAGGAAAGAAGGGGCTGCTCCTTCCCTCCTTTCCTTTGCTGCTGAATTCAGTGTCGAGGAGGGAAGGATGGGAAGAGTGAAGAGCAGCAGGCTCCAGAGCTGCTTGAAAACAGGGATTCCAGGCAGAGCAACTTGCCTGGCAAGCTCATAGAGCTCCAATTAGCAGCAAGCTCATATAGCTCCCAGTATGTGTGGAGCTCCCAGTAGGATCTGTGCTGAAGTGCTGGTGAGCTCTGAGAATTCATTGCACATGCAGAGCACAGCTGAAGTTTACTGCACTGCTGCAGCGCTTTGGGATCTTCCTCTGAGAGGATATACACACTGATGGAGGCAAAGGCTTCTAATGTGTTCCTTGGTCATGTGTAGTACATATCAATCTGTAGGTATGTGTACTGGGTAGCATTCACAGTACCAAATCTAGTATTGAATGATGGAGCAGAGAGTAAGAGTTGGAATACAAATAAACAGAGATTTGCATCTCATGTAACTAAAAATGCTTAAGTTGCTTTTTAGTACCAGCTGCTGATCTTTAAAGAAGACTTCCTACAAAAAAAATTTAAACTTAAAAGAGCATCTTCCAATTTTCAGGTCTGTTGTTTTAGTTTGTTTGCAAATATAGTGATTATAGGCTTCTATATATGTGTGCAAAGCCTGCTCCAATGCTCTAGAAATCCAGCACGTCAGAGCAGGCTTGATTAGTTGAGTCTGCTGGAGCACAGAAATTGATGCGCTCCAGCAGCCTTCCATATCATGTCATGTGTATCGGCCTTGCTGTGTGTCTCTGCACTGAAAAATGGTAGCAGTGTGTTGCAGGGCACTTAGGTGCCTGCTCTTAAAAGAGCAGAAACTGCCTGGGAAGAGCCCAAAGAGCCAGGCAGGAGCCCAGGTGCAGGTTGCCATGGCAACCAGCTAATGAGGCAATTAGCCTGCACCTGCACCTGGTTAGCTGGCCGGAAGGGGCAGGGCCCTGGGCCCATATAAACCCCAGGATGGGGACTAGGAGGCAGTTCTCTGCTGATGGCCAAGGGAGAAGAAACCCTCCTGAAGCATGTGAAGGCAAGAGGCCTGACTAAGTTCTTCTCCGGGTAATGTAGAGGGTCTAAGCACACCTTATGTAGCTTGTGTTATGTTATAGCCCAGAGACTTATGTTTTATTTGCCATTTTATAAGACTGGTGGTTTGGGTGAATGTTATTGGGGAAGGAGGAGGCCTCACTGGGGGCCCATGGCAGTGTGGGGACCCTGGTGCCAGAGAGGGCGCGGCATTTGGGGGCATAGACCCCAGCACCGAGGGGCACAGAGACAGGGCTGAGGAGAGCCCAGTGAGGACAAGGGGCTGAATTATAACAAGGCCTAGGCAAGACCATGCCAGTACCATCTGCGAGGCTTGGGGCATGGTAAAGGGGCTGTTGGAGCCACACACATAGTCCATAAGGCTAGGGTGCCCTGAAACACCCATTGTAAAATGGGAACCCACAGGGTCAGAGAGTCCATCAAGCCATGTCCAAGAGGACTTAAAGGCAGCCTCCCCATTTCCATATTTCTATCAAAGACCTGGTGGGCGAGAACTGAGGGTGCCCAGTGGGCCAAACTGACACGGTCGAGGGACCTTGGGAGAACATGGCCACCCTTGAGAACCCCATCCTGTGACACAGTGCACTTTTGAAATAAAACACGTTTGATAAGCCTGAGTTCAAAGCACCCCGCTACCACTTTTTCAGTGCAGGGATGCCTGGCAATGCTGATACACGACACGTGGGTGCTTTTAATTAGCACGGTTCACTAATTAAAGCACCCAGTGCCATGTCCCACAGCACATGTAAAAATGTCCTATGTTACAATAGCAGCTAAAGGTCCCAACTTAGATTGGGACACCACTGTGCTAGGCAGTGTACAGACACACAGAGGGCCATGTTGCACATTACTCTTGGGATCTGTTACCATGTTTAATAGGGGCCTTGTGTGTTCAAGCAGTAAAACACATGCTATGTTCATTTGTATCATACCAAAGTTATGACTTTTTTTTGCAGGAGAAGTATCTCTGGATTGTATTAAGTAACAGGCATTCAGCTATTATCGGACTACTTCATGGAGCAGCTCAAGATTTCCAAGTAGTGCTAGGACTGGGACTGACAATCAGCTGATTGTCGGTCTCAGGCCCAGCATAGCACTAGAGCTGGCTCAAGACTGCTAGTGACAGGTATCTGGCTTGCTCTACAGATGCCGTGGCAGGTGTGGATCCAGTGGCAAAAGTGGCACCCTGTGCCTCTCTCTGCTGCCTAACAGTAGGCAGAGATTGAGCTTAGCTTGGTGTACCATGGGTAGGCATTCCCAGGCTGGGCAGTGCTGAGCATCCAGCAGGGAGGGTGCAGACTCCAGACACAGAGGCTGTGTGCAACCTTATGGGTGGACGCATGAACTGTGGTACCCAGTGCTGGGTCAGTGTTGGGAGATGGGGGCGGGGGGGGGAGCATAGCCAGCTCCAGCTCTGTCCAGAGTGGGCTGAGATTGTTATGAGCAACCACGTGGTAATGCTTACTACATGTTCTAACTTTTACCGCAGCACAGTAATACTTACTAAGATCTAATAAAACATGTTTTAACTGTCCTATGTGACCAGGCCCATAGTTCCAACATGTTCCAATCTGTTTGCAATATAAATAGACAATACATAGAGCAGGTCAGGAAACAGATAAAGAAATAAAGTGCCTTACCCAAGCTGGGCATAGTGAGGTTTCCTGACTCCTATACTAATAACAATCAAGAAGATATTTAGGCCAGAAAAAGGTGAAACACTTTCCTTGTGAAAGAGCCTGTTTCTGAAACTAATGAAGTATTAGTTGTACTTAAGCCATTCCTTGAATGTCTACATTTTAAACATAGTATGAAAAGTCATAGCCTGGATGCAGTATTCCTGAGTACAGCCATAAAAGAACAATTGAAAGTGGTTTGGAAAACTTGGGCCAAGTCCATGGGTTAGAGTACAATTATTTCTGTGATGGCTTCCCAGACCAGTTGCCTAATCTGTCTAACATTTCCTTCCACTGTACAGTTGGTTCAAAAAAAGATATTACCCAAAAAATATTTGCTTGTATGAAAGACGCATAAAGAAGAATACAAATGCTTTAAACTGCCACTAGGTGACACCATACTTATGAATGTTTGCAATATGATTCTACTACAAGCAAAAAGCATATACTGTCCTTTCTGATTTAGTCTTCACAATCCAAGTGTATGATATTTCATATAGCTTGGATGCTTTGAACAGTGATCTCCTGTTTTGATGCCAATTGTTGGAAACAATAGCTTTCATGGAGGATTTTGTCAGCAAACCCTGGGGGTATTCTTCATGGGACAATATAACAGTGTAATCCTCACAATTTCCCACAAGTAACCATTTACAGGCCAGACAGCAATATATGGCACTTAGCTCTGTAACTCTGAACATGACCCATGCAAGGATGCCTCTGTTTTCCATTCTGATTTGTGGTGCACTCTGTCATGCACTTCAGGTGACCCATCCTGCAAGAAGCAATGATCCTGAGTTGTGGGGGTTTTTTTTTGTTTTTTTTTTTTTTCTTGGGGATTGTTTGCTGATTCCTGTAATGTAATGAGCTCACTGCAACTAAACTACTGAGAAGATTTTTAAAATGGATTTCTTACTAGGCCAAATATCTGAGCCCTGTACTCCGCTTGTTACTGTCAAATAGCAACTAACATATTAGTTTGTTTGTTGGTCTCTGTTTTGTATACCGCTGTTATACTGCTTCATCTTAGCAGGGATCTCCAGATAAGAAGTTTACCGGACTCTTAACATTTTCCTTTGCTCACAAGAGGACAAAACAGTGCAATTGCTGGCTCCTATCATGGGCAAATCTGGGGGTGGGGGCAGGGTGCAGTGGTGAAGATGCACTCCCCAGCCCCTTTTTGCTGCTACTGCCATCCCCAGCTAGCCCAGGAACAGGGGGAGCCCCAGAGTAGCTCTGGTACTGTGGAAACAGTGGTGTCAGCAGACAGGTTTCCTCTTTTCTTTGCTCCCCCACTGTGATCCCCCCTGGCCAGGAGGAGGTGCTAGAAGGAACATGCCCAACTGCTGCTGCTGTCCCCAGTTGATCCAGGCATGGGAGTGGGGAAGCCTGAGATGCTCCCGTACCCTACTCCAGATAAAGAAAGCAGCTGTGTGGGGTGCTAGGCTCAGCTGGGAACAACAGTGTCAGCAGAGAGGTTTCTCCTTCCAGGCCCTGCTCCCAGCTAGCAGGGTACACTGGGCGAGATGATGTGGCCAGGCAGAAAACAGGGGCTGGAAGAAGGAGCCTTTGAGCTGTTGTCATTGTTACCTTGCTGAGCCTGGCTCCCCTCAAAGCTGCTTCCTGAAGTGGGCAGATAGGGAAGATTGTGGGGTTCCCCCCACATCCAGGTCAGCTTGGTACAGTAGCAACACAGATCTTCCTCTCAAGCACCTGATCCCTGCCTGGCTCTCCGGTGTCCCCCACCAGGTCAGGGTCTCCAGTCACTCCTTGCTTCCAACCCCACATGGTCTGAGGGGCAGTATACTGCACCCCCATTTAGGACAGTTTAAATCTGTTTTTCCCCCCCCCCCCTCCTTCTGTCTACACTCATGTTAAAAAACAAAAAACCCCAAACCCTCACCTCAAGATAGGAAAAAAATTAAACCTGTCACTCACACAAGAAATTCTCAATGGTCTTGTCTATGTGAGATGCTTAATTGCATAGTAGCACAGTTTATCGCACAGTAAATGCACATGTCCAAATGTCCACATATTTACTGCACAGTAACAACCCTAATAATGAGTAAATTTGCTAGCTGCAAATATAGGTAGCAAATTTATGTGCAATTAGTTATTGTGCAGTTATGCACATGTAGATATGAACTAGGAGCAAGTTTGTTCCCCAGTCATTCCTGCCACTAGGGGGATGGCCTGAAGCTAGCCCCAAGGCTCCAGGCTGGGAGCCTCTCCTGCCCCACAGCTGGGCTGCTTCTATGGCAGTCCCTGCCTCAGACCCTTAAAAGCCTGCAGGCACTCAGAGCTCTGGGGCACATCAGCAGGGAGCATGAGGGCACTCCAGGTCCCTGTATCTTCCTGGGTAGGCCAGCTGCCCCAGCCTGCCTGAACCTCAGTGCCACTGGCTAACACCACACTACCGCACATGCTGCCAGGACTGTGTTGTCCAGACCTGCAGGCTGCTGCTGGCGCCAGCCAGGCTTGCCAGCTGCCAGGCCTTCCAGACCCCAAGCCCAGCTGCAGACAGCTTCTGGCTGTGGGGGCCAGCTCCAGCTGCCTGAAGCTCACCTGCAGCAGCCTGCCCTGAGCTTGCAGGTGCTGCAGGGCATTGCCTTTGCCATACAGCTGCCAGTCCCATGCTGGACTCCAGGGACAGCTGTGTGGGGAACCCAGAGAGCAGGCACAGGACCCATGATGGTTTCCTCTTTGTCCACAGCTGTGCCGATGCCTGTGCCTGCCACTGAGGGCCCTAACTGGTTGCTGGAGGAGACTGGCGAACTTGTAGCACTGTGGGGTGAGGTGGAAGTGCAGTGCCAGTTCATGTGGGGTGGGTGCTCCAATGCCCATATCTATGAGGGGCTGTCAGGCCAGATGCAGGAGAGATGCAACCAATCAGTGCAGCAGTGCTGCATAAAGATTAAGGCCTTGTGGGCACAGTGGCTTTCCATCACTGACCACAGTTATCAGTCAGGGGGTGCCTGCAAGTCCATGCCCTTTATGTGGCAACTGATGGACATACTTGTGCCCTGGGACCTAGGCCACAGCTGTGCTGTGTCTGTCAGCGTGGGTGGCCCACCTGAGTCCTCACCTAGGCTTGGCACCCATGGTAACATGTCACGGGGGATGGTCCCTTAGGTGTCCAGCAGCCTGTTCTGCCATGTTCCAGGTGCCAGCAGCTCCATCAGTAGCTCAGGGAAGCCAGACCAGCACCTGCCATGCCAGCTCCACAGCCCCAGCCCCTGCCATGAGACATGGCCAGCAATGACACCACCAGGTACCAGCAGCACCAGTGCCTCCCTGGGGGGGCCCAGGTGGGCACCTGCCAGCTGCACCCTGCCATCCGAGGACACCGTGTGGAGCTGCACACCATGGCCAACAGCTGTGACCATGTGGAGCCACCAGCCACACCAATCCTGACCACGTGGTAAGCCCCACTTTGTGGGGATGGCTATCCCACCCTCCCCTGCCCCTACCTTCCCAGCCTTCCCACACTCCCCTGGCCCCAGGTTCCCCCCTCCAAAGCAAGTAGGGAGGCAGTAGACAGTGCCAAACTTTATTGAGCAGCCAGTGCCCCCACAGCTAGATGGGCATGGGCCTCTCACATGCCAAAGAATGTGTCAATGCTGTTGGGGGTGTCCTCCTCAGTTGTGGGGGGCAGGAATGTGTAGTGCAGCCACAAGTAGCCCTCTATGCTATAGCGGAGGTTGCGGGGCAGCCCAGACTTGCCCCCCACACCATTGTGACTCAGGGTCTTGTATCAGGTGCACAGGTGTACCTGGGATACCATGGCCATTGGCAGCAAGAGGGCATAGTGGGCTGGGCACTCCTTGGTCTGTGAAAACAGCTCCTCGCACACCACCTGGGACACACGTAGCAGTGGCATGCTCAGGGCGCAGTGCTGGTATGGCAGGGGGCTGGCCCTGGGGTACCTTCCTAGAGAGGCCCCCAGTGGGGAATTTGGGGGTGTGGGCAGCTCCTCATCCCAGTTGTCAAGGAGTACTGGGTGCCCCCAGCCTGGGCGTCATAGGCTGGGCAGCAGTGCAGCAGAGTGGTTGGCCTAGAGGAGGAGATGTCAGGGAGCAGGGTCTGGAGCTATGGCAGCAGGTGCTGCCAGGGCCCTGGCCTATACCACCTGGAAATGGAGCAGGGAAGGCAGGGCGCCTTTGGTCAGCACACAGCAGCTTGCTGGCCCCAGGGAAGCAGGCAGGGATGAGAGGCTCAGATCGCAGTGGCCTGGGCTCAGGCCTGCCAGGCAGACTTACCATGGTCCCTGGCCACCTGTACATGCCTGACCCCTGATTTGAGGCTGGACAGTGCGCAGGCCCTGGTACAGAGCATCTTATCTTTGAAATGTTGTAAACTCTCACAAACAGCTTCTGTATCATGGCTCTACAGGGCCTGCAGCTGCACGTGGGAAAGAAGCTGCCTTTGGCATCCAACATGCAGTCTCAGGGTTGCCACCACCCATAGCCAGGGCCCAGTGGATGCACCAGCTTTGTCAGAGGAGGACCCTGGACAAGACTCTGCTGCTGGACCACCTGGTCATGGCATCAGAGGACCGGCTGAGGGATGCTCAGGCCTAGTGGGTGAGGATGTGGTCCACCAGGACAGGTGGTACTGCCCCTGGAGGATGGAGGGTGGAGGATGTTGCCCATGAGGACATGCAGGACCAACATGAAGAATCAGGGGACTGGTGTGAGGAGGCATGGGACTGGGCAGACTGGGAGCTGTGGGTGCAGCTCCTGGCCCTTAAGCATGAGTGGGTGAACGTGCTGCAGGAGCAGAATGCCATCCTGGATCAGGCAATGCAGGCCGTGGGCAACAACCACCAGGTGTTGGATACTGTTTTGGCTCTGGCTGTTGCCTTTTTGCTGCTTGCTACCTAGCCCCTGACCATAGCCCTGTCTTCCCCCTGGCAGCCACCCACTGCCCAGCTGCAGGCCCCAGTCTGAGCCTGGGAAAAGGCCCTGTGCTGCCTCCAGCAGCTAGGAGACCCTGGTCCAACTCCAACCCTGGGTCCAGCATCACTCAGCCCTCCCACCTGAGCCCAGTCCTGATGCTTGCCTCAGTTCCACATGCATGCATAGCTACAGTAGGGCCAGGAACACATGCCAGCCCTTCTGGGCCTGGACACCACCTTCCAGTGAGGCCGTCATTGTCCTGGGCAAACCCCCCACCAGCCACACTCACTATTGTTTGCACACCCATGGGGGAGTGGCCAGAGGCTGGGGTACTGGCCATTGGTTCCTGGGCTGTGCCTCCTAGTCACTCCCATCCCATGGTCCCTCACCCTGGTAGGGTCCACAAAGGACACTGAACAAAGTTTTCTTGAGGTAGAAGGTGTTTTATTGTTGGTGGGTGGTAGAGAGGCTGTTTGTTGGAGAGGAAGGGACAGAGGATGGGGACCTCTTTTTTGGGGGGGGTTCTGTTTTTTGGGGAGGGAGGGACAGAGGATGGGGGGGATTATTCAATGTGAAAGGAATAAAAACGTGTTCTTCTGACATGTGACTGCTGTGAGCGTAGTGCTAGGAGTGGGCAGAGGGTAGGAGGTCTGTGGGCAGTGGTGCAGGTGGGCTAGAGTGGGTAGCGCTCAACGGGGTGGTTAGCCAGGACCTCCCACACCTGGTGCCCTTGCCTCTGCTGGGGGGTGTGCAGCTCTACTGGGGCTTGGTGGGGGGCACTGCTGTTGCCACCACAGGTGGTGCTCCTGCTACCAAGCATCCTCCATGTGCTAGGCCTCTTCCACCCAGGCCTTGTGGAAGAGCTCCCCTGGACTCCTCAGATGTTATGCAGCACCCAGGCTGTGACTGACTGAGGGGAGATTGTCTTTGGTGAACTTGAGGTAGGTGGTGGGGGTGCACCAGCAGCTCTTGTGGCAACTGAAGGCACACTCAACTAGGGCACAGGTCCGATGTAGGAAGTGGTTGAAGTGGGCCTGGTGGAGGTCTGGATGGTCAGTGAAGGGCTCCATGAGCCAGGGCAGGAGTGGGTAGTGGGGGTCCCCGATGAGGAGGACCACCCAATGGCAGTAATATTTGAGCAGTCGTGGTGCATGGGCCAGGTCCCAGAGGACTGGAAAAGGGCCAATGTGGTCCCCATTTTCAAGAAGGGGAGGAAGGAGGACCCAGGCAACTATAGGCCAGTCAGTCTCACCTCCATCCTAGGCAAAGTCTTTGAAAAAATTATGAAGGCTCACATTTGCGAGAGCCCGGCAGGACAAATTATGCTGAGGGGAAACCAACACGGGTTCATGGCAGGCAGATCGTGCCTGACCAATCTAGTCTCTTTTTATGACCAGGTTATGAAACGCCTGGACACAGGAGGAGGGGTGGATGTCGTATACTTAGACTTCAGGAAGGCCTTCGATACGGTATCCCACCCCATACTGGTGAACAAGTTAAGAGGCTGTGACTTGGATGACTACAGACTCCGGTGGGTGGCGAATTGGCTAGAGGGTCGCACCCAGAGAGTCGTAGTGGATGGGTCAGTATTGATCTGGAAGGGTGTGGGCAGTGGGGTCCTGCAGGGCTCGGTCCTTGGACCGATACTCTTCAATATCTTCATCAGCGACTTGGACGAGGGAGTGAAGTGTACTGTGTCCAAGTTTGTGAATGACACAAAACTGTGGGGAGAAGTGGACACACCGGAGGGCAGGGAACAACTACAAGCAGACCTGGACAGGTTGGACAAGTGGGCAGAAA